AAATCATTCAGGATATATTACAAACTTTAATGAAGGAATAAAGTTATAAGAAATCATACAAGAGAAAACTTTCTGTTCTTGGAGAAAATATTTTGGTTTTCTTTTTGATAAATGCTCATCAGAATCTACTTTTCAACATAATCTGACATCAACAAATGGTGTCAAAGACGTGGAGAAACTGGAACTCTTGCACATTTTTAACAGGAATGTAAAAGGTGTGGCCACATTGGAAAAAATTTGTTTAAAATCTAAGCATGACTTTACAAAAAAGCCCAGTTATTCACCTTATAGGCATTATCCCCATGGAAATTGAAACATATGCCCCCACAAAGATATTTATGTGAATGTTCATAACATTATTATTCAGAATAACCACAAAGTTAAACAAACCAAAATGTACCAAATAGTAAATGGATTAAAAACAAAAAAGAGAAATATAATCATATGATAAAATCCCATCAACAATAAAAAAGATTTAACTATTGATACATTCTACAGCATGTCTGAACTAAAACTCATTATACTAGGTGTACGAAGTCAGATGAAAAAGATTACATTTCATGTATGATCGATTCATACAAAATTTATGGAAAAGAGGAAATGTATGCTTATGGAAACTAAGTTTGTGATTGACTAAGAGACAGGGGTTCACTGTAATAAAAAGGCAGTAGGATCTTAGGAAGATGGAAATGTTTCAACACTGGATTGGGTAGTGGCTGGACAATGGAGTAAATGCAAAGAGTCACTGAAATATGCACTTGAAATGGGTAGAAAGTATGGTGTTCAAATTTTATCTCAATAAAGTTGTTTACAAAAAACTATCAAGTTTTTCACAAATAATTCATTCCATTTTTCCTTTTCATTAATTCAAAGTATTGAGAGAGCATCACTCTCTTCTGTTCAGATGTACAAATGTTAACTTAAAATATCTGTATCTCCCTCTTTGTTATATTATCTGAGAAGAGCGATGCAAATTTTCAGTCAATCAAACTTTGAGGGTTCATATTAACCTTTATCAATATCTTCACTCAGTCTGAATTTAATGGATCTTTATTTTTGCTCCTCCCTTGTTTTTTTGTTGTTTTAAATCTTTTCTGTTATTACCTTCATTAAATACTTATTTTAACTTACTTGTATTATTTTTAAAAGTTCTGAAATAAAATTAAAATTCTTTGAAAAACCTTTTTACAAAAGGAAATAGGAATAAAAGTGATAACCATTAATTCTGTCAATTAAGGTTATTAAGATTAAAATGAAGATACACTATCACCTACTTTATTTCCTTGTATAAAACTGAGAAGCACTGATTCAATTTCTGATTGAAGAAAAGTCATAAGAAGGCATATGCCAATATTTTATAATATATACAAGATTTACAGAATATAAATGAGAAAAATGAGCCAAAAATGTATTTTGTGCCCTTTTATTTTTCTTAAGTGAAGGAATGTTCTGCTTTCTTGGTCATTTGAAACGTGCAATGAAGCAATCCAAAGATGGAACTTAAATCTCTATCTTTGTATAGTGTCAGGTTGGTTGAAGATATTTTTATATTGACATATTGAAGTTGAAAAGATATATTTCACAATCCTTAACAAAATTCAGAATATTCTAGGTGAATTTCAACAAGTTCAGGGACAATAACTTTAACCAATCCAAATATAATCCCACTTTTCTTTCTGTAAGTTATAAGAAGTCAATAGATTTTAATTCAACACTGGGGAATCATAAAAATAAAATACAGCGTTCTCAATGCTTTAGATTAATCATAACCCAGACTCTGTAGTTTAGAGTGGTCACCATCCACCAGCTTTCTCTAGAAAGTCTATCAATGAATAAAATTGTATCCAGCTTATTAATCAATAACACAGACATATATAAGTAGAAATATGTGTATATACACACATATATTATATATGCATATATATATATTGAAGGTGATTATAGAATAAATGAAGGTTTCAACTAGTATAGATGCACTGTACCCTTTTCAAGCTGATACCAAAATTGTTCATTGTCAACATTACAGAAACTCACATAGAAGTTTTTTTCTTTAAAATGCAAATATAGGGTAATAGAAGTAAAAAAAAAGTTAGCAATATATGATAACTACAGAGATTATATTTTTTCAAAAGCAAAGTGCTTCAAATTATGGACCATAATCCTCAGGATAACCTGGATTGGAATAGAGTTATTAGGCACATGCTATTAAAAAAAAATTGAAAATCCACCCAATCCACCCAGTTCTCTTTATTTAGAATACTTGAGTAGTTGCACATAATCTTAATTTTTCAAATGATTTTATGATTATTTATATATGAAAATCATTGTTAATAAAAGTGACCTGCACTTTAGTATTGTGTGGGGAAATTTAAAAATAAGTGAAATAAATATCCAGGTCTCACTCACAAGAGAGCTGAATTAAGTTTCTTGGAGTGCATCTTGGGGGATAATATTTTGCAAGTGTTCTCTAGGTAATACAATGCTAAAGACAGGGCTAGGAAACACTGGTCTAGAACTTGAAAACTGATGTTTTCACAATTTCCACTAGTCCTTATAGGCTATGTTGACTGATTTCATTAATTTTTATTATTCTTTTGGCCTGCAACTGTGACTGAATCTATAACCTCTGAACACTGAGCACTGTTTACACTAGAAATTGCAGCTGCTTAAAAGTAGACACAACAAACCAAAATCTACTGAGGTCAGATTAGAGAGAGAATTCTTCATATTTGTGCTAGTAGAGGAAGTTTTTATTTATTTATTTATTTTTTGCTTTGTTTTTGTTTTTGGTCTGGGGGTGCTGCAGGTTGAACCAGAGGCTTTGTGGATGCTACGTAAGTGCTCTTCCATGGTGATACATCACCAGCTCTAGTGGAAGAAGAGTTTTAAAGGGATTCAGACAGGGACCACTAGTGAGTAAGTAGATGTTTATGAGACTTACTGAAGGCAGGGAGGAGTTGCTACAGATGATGAAGAGGAGAGAAACAAAGAGCAAAATGTAACATGATTTTGAAGGCCCAATTCTTGGTAGAAAAAGTAGAACAGAATGGTGTTTTGGGGACACTAACAAACCACACATAACATTCCAGTGTCTAATGAGAACGTGTTTTTATATAGTTTCTGAAAAATACATCAAAATACAAAAACAACTTCCTTAAAACTAACACCATGATTTTCTCACTAAGTTGGTCATAAATATTAGAAATATTAACTATCTCCCTAATTCAAACCAAACTCCTTAGCTTGGGAATTCAGGGGACCTCACTTTCTAAGTGTTAGAGGACAAACAGATGAGGATGGTGGGACACAGGATTAAGAGAATAATTCTATAAAGTGGGCCTATTGTGCTGATGCACATGTGCTTTCTTTTCAAAAGAAGAAATTTATCTGCATCCCTGCCTGGCCTAAGTGGACAGGATATGTCACATTCCTCAACAAGCTACCTGTTATCTGCAAAGAAATGATGCAGGAAAAAAATGTTCATAGGAGGAACCCAAGTTACATTGAAAAGAGAGATTTTTGTGATGCTTTCATAGACAAGATTCTGGAAGATACGTATAATTTCCCCCAACCATAAAATCTGTAAGAATGTATGGTTATGAATCTAATTAGAACCACTCAGCATGGACACAGGGGACCTAAAATTGGCATGGCAGAGAGTACTTAAAATTTTCATGTCACTTTGCTGTCAGTCAAAAGTCAAGAGGTGGACCCAGATGGGACTCTTAGAAAACTTCTGAGATCCCCCAATAAAGGTGAAGTGCAGAAGAGACACACTTTCTCTCTCCTCTCTGAGAAGACCCACTCTGTCCCTTGAGAGTGTCCCCTTTCCGTTTTTCTATCCTTTCAGTAAACTCATTTCTGTTATTCTGAGTGACATGTCTGAAATCCTTCTCACTTGATCATAAAAATTGGGGCTTGAAGGATGATTCTTTGCTCTACCTCAGTTTCTTGGAAGGCCCCAGCTCTGTAATTACAAATTAATGTTTTGGATACATACCTCACCACTTTCTGCACTGTAATCTCACCGCTGTACTGCTCTGATATATTTTTCTGCTTCTGAAAACTTAATCACATTGTGAAAGTTCTGCATATCATTCAAATTAAAAGAAAAAAGATTCCTTTCTCTCCTGAAAGCCTTTCTGACTGTTCCTTTAGAAACATATTGCAAAATATTGTATTTCTGCTACTAGTTAAGTTGCTGTTCTACATTACATAATTTTGGTACATGTTTCATTATACAAAGATTTAAAGGTAAACTATTGAGAAATCCCTCTTTCTAAATCCAGTTTTGCAGACAACAGAGGAAAAAGGGATGATATGATTTATTTATTTTTCTCTCCCCCTTATTTCCTTCTTCTGCTGCCCGGATTTCTTCAGGTATGAATGATCTGAGTACGCACTTTCTAATTTTTAATTTAGTCTAATTAAATCTGCACGACACAATTGGCATTTGTTGTTAAACCTAGACATCATAGATCTGCAAGCTTAATTCTGCCACACTGAAACTTTAAAGAGCTAAAATTTCATTACCATCATTTTGAATGAAAAACCATAGGACTCAGGTCTATATTTTCTAATATCATTTGGAGGTTAAGTATTTTCCTGCCTATAATATGATGTCTCATAATACTTGGATTATTTGCCTTAGCTGGAGAATATTATAGAATCATATTATGTGTTTGTTTTTTTAAATTTTGTTTTGAAATACTTTAATGGCTTCCAGTCTCTTGGTTGTGGAAATGAAGCATGATGCTGAGTCTGTGGTCACCAACTTATGCCTCTAACATCTGTTCACAGTTACATCCTAAGGATCTGGTGGTGGAACTCCCTAATGGAATGACTACCTAGTTCATAACTAGAATTTGCATTATCACATTTAGGATTTCAAAGTTTATATAGCACATATTACATGTGATTAGAAAGTTTCATGGAGACATGAACAAGAATTTTAAAATGCTTATGTCCTTTTTTTTCAAACCACTTTAAGTTAGTCTTACATCTTGAGAATCACAGGCAATGGTACTTGGATTTTCTTTCTTAGTTGATTCAACTCGAGTGTTTTCATTGTTTCCAGTAGCACTTTGCTGGGGCTTGAGAGAGAGAGAGAGAGAGAGAGAGAGAGAGAAAGAAAGCATTAAAAACAAGAAAAATGGATTTAACAAACAGATTCACATAATCATTGTAAAACATGCCACAAAGGCAGCATTGTACTCAGAGAAAAACAAGAAAGTAGCAATTTGTATATAACAGAGACCTTACAATTGTGCCTTAGAAATTATTCACATTGAAAAGTAATACTTTCTGTTCAAATTTTCATTGGTGATGTCCACTGGGATTAATTTTCCAATGAATATATTCATTTTCATAGTATCATATTATTTTAAAGATCCTGGCCCTCAAAAGCCAGATACCACACTGGGTGCCATGGCATGCACCTGTAATCCCAGTGGCTTGGGAGGCTGAGGCAGGAGGATAGCAAATTCAAAGCCAGCCTCAGCAAAAGTGAGGTATTAAGCAACTCAGTGAGACACTGTCTCTAAAGAAAATACAAAATAGGGCTGGGTATTTGGCTCAGTGGTCAGGTGGCCCTGAGTTTAATTCCAGGTACCAAAAAAAAAAAAAAAGGCCGATACCCGTTCTTTCTCTTTATTTAAATCCCTAGCATGCTTCATTTTCTTAATAATAAAGAAAATGTTATGTAATACTTCATAAATTACATAGAGGATTATATTCACTCCATTGCTTCACTAAGCAAGTTCTGCTTTATACCTTTAGGAAACCTAAATATAATTCTAGAATTTATCTCTTTAGGAACACTACATTGAACAAGAAGTTTCCTGGTTTTTTTAACAGAGAATGGTATGCCACAACTAATGTATTTCTATATCACTATAGATAGCTCTAAGATTATCCACTCAAATGTGAATGTCTTTTTCAGGCAGAGCTGATTTAAATATGGTGTTACACTCATCAAAACATGAGGGGACTTCTGCAGAAGAGACAAACAATAAATTCAACAAATGCTATTTCCTGAGTCTGAAACTTTGATCACAGGGGGAAAAGAAATATATAGATAGATACACACATACCTATATAGTATACCAATTTCATTTGGTATAATAAGAAAAGGCATTGTAGACAGGGTATCTTTAAAATGTATTTCTGAATAGTTCAGCAAGAATGAGGAGACTCTCTGTGTGAAGGTAATCATTTAAGCAAAGACACAAAGGAAGAAGGGTCCCGTGTTAGCTAGCATGTGGCTTTATAAGGTAGGAGCAGATTAAGCATGGAAAAAATACAGCAAAGTAGAGAGCTACAGATTTGTAGTACAAAGATCATACTTAATTTAGTAGCCAAAAGGAGGTCCCTTGGATATTTTGAAACAATTGTGGCATGGCCAAAACCTTGTTCATAGCAGCACAATTCACAATAGCTAGACTATGGAACCAACCCAGATGCCCTTCAATAGATGAATGGATAAAAAAAATGTGGCATCTATACACAATGGAGTACTATGCAGCAATAAAAAATGACAAAATCATAGAATTTGCAGGGAAATGGATGGCACTAGAGCAGATTATGCTTAGTGAAGCTAGTCAATCCCTAAAAAACAAATACCAAATGTCTTCTTTGATATAATGAGAGCAACTATGAACAGAGCGAGGAGGAAGAGCAGGAAAAAAAAAGATTAACTTTAAACAGAGACATGAGATGAGAGGGAAAGGGAGAGAAAAGGGAAATTGCATGGAAATGAAGGGAGACCCTCATTGCTATACAAAATTACATATAAGAGGTTGTGAGGGGAATGGGAAAATAAACAAGGAGAGTAATGAATTACAGTAGATGGGGTAGAGAGGGGAGGGAAGTGGGGATAGTAGGGGATAGGAAAGGTAGCAGAATACAACAATTACTAATTGGGCATTATGTAAAATTGTGGATGTGTAACGGACGTGATTCTGCAATCTGCATTTGGGGTAAAATTGGGAGTTCATAACTCACTTCAATGTAATGTATAAAATATGATATGTCAAGAGCTTCGTAATGTTGTGAACAACCAATAAATAAATAAATAAATAAATAAATAAATAAATAAATAACCTCTAAATCCCCCCAAGGGGGGGGGGAACAAAAAACAAAACCTTGTTACCATGATGTGACAGCAGCATACAGGTAAAAATAGAACAGAAGACAAAGAAAGCAGCAGACTAATAAAGAAGCCATTAAAATGAGCAGGAAGATGGTAACAAGGGCCGGCGAGTTGTCAATACTGACAATTTAAAGCAGACTGGACAAGTATTATATATTGAGATAAAAGGTTAGAATTGATGAAATTTGATGAGTTCTACAGAAATAGACAAACTGGAAGAAAAATATCTTTATAGCAAGAAGGGTGACATTATATTTCCATTAGAGAGTTTAAAGCATTTAGGACTCCTAAATAGACAGGCACTATTGGATAGCAACATTAGAAAGAAAATCAATTTTAACAAGAATCAAAACAGCTATTTATTCAGCTAAAATATACTGAACATCTACCACCTGTCTTCCCATAGCCTCCAACTTACAGTCACATTGAGGAAACAGGTTAAAAAGAATAAAAGCAATAAATAAACACTAGTACTGAAGGAAAGTCTCCCCTGGCTCACAATAAGAACTACAGCTGCAGCACTATGAAGAATAGATTAAATCACTGAAACAGAAAAGGGGCAAAGTTAGTATATTTTGTTTCTACTCAACAAACAGATAACTGAATATATAGTCCCTGGATTGCCTTGTAAATTTCTTTTAATATTTAACAACATTTAAGAAAAAAGAAAACTATATTCTCACAATAGTTATTTTTATTTCTCAATGCCATCACTCAGTCTTTGTCAATATTAAAATGCATGGATATCTTATATAGCCACAATTTTAGCCCCCATGTTCTAAGTACTGTCTTTGCACATCTAATATAAATGTTGGCACCCTTACATGTTTTTATCTATGATTAATAGGTATACAATTCATAGGGTATAATTGGAAAACTGTGATGCACTTGAATATTTTGACAGTTTTTAGTTTGGGGTTATGTGAATAATATTGTCATGAACATCAACCTTCTTGTCTCCAGATTGAATGGATATTTCATATCATTCTTGACATTGATTTAAACATCTGCCTCACTTAATAGGCTGGGAGTTCCCAAAAAGGTAAATATCATTTCTTTCTTATTTAAAAAGAAAATTTACTCTTTTAGTTATTTACTCATTTGCTTTTTGATCTTTTTGTGTGTATGGTACTGAGGAATGTACACGGGGGCACTCTACCCCTGGGCTATATCCCAGCAGTTTTTAGTTTTTATTTTGAAACAAGTTCTCTCCAAGTTACTCAGGCTGGTCTCAAAGTTGCCATCTTCCTGCCTCACCCTCCCTAGTTATCCAAGTTTAAAGGAGTGTGCCACCATAACCAGCTCAGATATTACTTCTTATTCATCAATGCCTTCTTGGAAGCTAGTGCATATTTTGAAATCAATTTATTTTTGTTTACCTTTTCCCTTGTGTTGTTTATTTGCAATAGGTTTTTTAGGATAAAAAAAAAAGGTCAGAACTGAATCAAAGGGAACGTACATATTTATGGTTGGGAAAGCTTTTCAACAGTGGCAGTTTTAATTACTCCAACAATGTAAGACCACAATATTTGCTATGCATACATTCTATACAAAATGTTTAGAGCTCAAAGATTGAAAAACACAGTTCTTTATCTCCGAGTGCACCTGTTTGCTCATCCTAAAATGTTCCTCGTTCCTAATCATCTCTGATTTCTTTCTTTAGGGTTGTGTTTCTCTCAAGGTATGGTACATACTAAGGAATGTGTTCTCTTTCAATTTCCTGTCTTATGCAAGATATGAGTATGTGATCCAAGTTAGGACATTAGTAGCTGCATCACTGGAATTTAATTTAATTTAATTTAATAAGTCTGGACTGCAACATACACAGTGGAGACAGACTGGTTTTAAATGGGCTGGCTGCAACTTTAAGCTAACAAGGCCACAAAAAAATCGTACAACACAGACATAATTTTTCAAATCGAGGACAGGACAGCTCTTTAACCTTAAGGGTCAGCTTCCCTGCTTGGAAGAGAGCCAGAACCCATGATCCATTTATTTATAGGGGAATTAACAAAGGATTTTCGATAGAATGTTCTTCACCACATAGGCAGGGGTTGGGCTGGTCAAGCCCCAATGAGTAACACCCAGGTCCAGAGCCATGGGAAAGCAGACTTCTTTGCTGAATGAAGGAGGAGGCCACCTGCATCAAGCAACGTGCAATGCTAGACCAACACCCCCTTGGCTTAAGGGTGAGAGAGGATGCTTAATATAGCTCATGGGTGGCTCCCAACAAATAAAGAGCACTGCTACAGTGATTAGGTTCATTACTTCTGGTTGGATGCCTTGGCTCAGTTATTCCTTATCATTCATGAGTCCCTGGAGCAGCCTTTGTTTCTGTTTTCCCCAGGCTTGTTTCTGCAATTCTTTCTTGATTTTATGATCTTCTGATATTCTGTCACTGAATTCCCCTTCACTCAATATGGTCAAATTAGCACTTGTTGCATGTAACTAGGGAGGGCTAAATAATGCAAAATGTCAAAGCCATAAGTTGAAATTGACAACACAGGGTAAATGCCCTGATAATGGTCTACCATGGAGCCAACCAGATTAAAACCTAACTGAATTGGACAAGCTCAAGAGAGGCTCTTTAATGATGGAAATAATATTTCATGGTGTTCAACATATTCCTAAAAATATACATTTGTGCAGATGATACATTTTCATGCTTGATTAATGACATATTCTTGTGCAAATGTTTTACATTTATGAAAATGTTCCCAGACTTTGGAGGTGCCATAGAGACAACAATATGCCCAAAGTGAGAAGTTTTATTTATTATTTAACTATTTATTTGACAATTTACTTATCTATAATTTTGTGAGCCTTTGATATTTTGAATGAAAGATAAAAGAGCCTTTATTTTATTAAGCTGACAAAGAGGGAAAGACTACTACAACTTTCTTTCTTCATAAATTTGCTAATATCTTCCCCTGTTTTCATCAA